TCATGTGTTAGGGTGAAGATCGAGCTGCTGTTGCCATTCGCCAAAAATTTCGATCAATTTGCCATTTTAGAAATTGAGAGGAAATTGGGCCGAGTTAACTTTCGCAAAGACTTCTGGGACTGTACTGGGCACAGGAGAGAAAATTGGCCAATAGCTGATCGGCTTGTCCCCAGAAGTCTGCGCGAAAGCTAACTCGACCCGGATTCTTTCTCGTTTCTAACATGGCGAATTACGGTTTTTGGAAAAAAGCCGCTTTTGATTCAAGAAAATTTCTGGGGTAGTCGGATTGACAACAAAAGCATCGACCTATCACATCTAGCACGTGTTCACCCAAACGAAATCGTTCTCAGAAATTGTCGCACCAAAGGCTTGTACCCTTTCCAATTGTTTATGGAGTGGCGATTCTCGCTAAATTTCAACCCCAAAATCGGATTCCATTGTTATATTTTAATATTTTCCCTGCTCATGTTGAAACTTTAGGCCTCCGTGGCCTATTTTGAAAACATTACGAAGGAAATGAATTTTTTAGTTTCGTAATTAGGGAAAAAATAGATGAGTGAAGTGTAGAGTGAAGTGTATAGTGAAGTGAGGGTGGCACAAGGGTGAAATAATGGAGTGGTGAAAGTAAAGAAGAAACTGAAATGAACAAAATGAAAATATTTTAAATGCCATTGGTTGATTGTTGTTCTGTTTGACCGTCTGGGCTTGTTAGGGGTGAATTGAAAATATTCAGTTGATAAACGCCATAAGTTAAAGAAAAGCCAAACTGAACAGTTGTAAATTTCAGTTTTGACATTTTTTTTTCTCTTCCTCTCTTTACAGGAGACACACCAACAGTTAGCTGATCGCACTGGCCTTAATGTGGTAGAACTTAGAGCTGAGTGTGGAATTAGACCTGTGATTGTAGCTTCGCCTTCTGTTGAAACCCAGAAAAAGGTGTTGAAAAAGAGATCAGACAAAGATGAATACGACTTAAATGAAATATTTGATCCTTACAGGGGACTACATCGGCCTAAGAAAAGGACAGAACTGTTATGAACAAGAAAAATGAATAAATGCTCAAGCAGTATGTTTGCATGTATGTTGGATTGTCACGAAGACAATGATGTCTAGGAAAGTTCAAATCGGGCCTGTAGTGTACTTTCAAATCAATCCTGTCTTGCTACAAATCAGGTTATTGCAGGTTGCGAAAAAAGTTTGTAGAATGTGGAGAGTAGTTGTACTTGTTTCAACAAAATATGTGCATGTTGCCTGTTTTACCGGTCCAAGGCTGTCTCAGTCCTTTGCAGCAAGTGAAGTGATGTTTATGGTATTGCTAGTATTGTACAACGTTTTTTCTCAAACTGAAGAAGGGTCATAAACCCGAAACGTTTGCAAAAAAAAAAACAAAAAACATTTGACATTTTTTGGCATTTCTTTACCAGATGTCACTTCGTCAGCTATTGAAGTAAAAGTGTCACGCATTCCTGACGGTTTTTCCGTTTAACTTTCGTAAGTGACAGATCATACGAAAGCCGAGTCCAATAAATTGACCACTATAGATAATAGCATAACGCACTAAAATGCTCTTTGTTTATCAGCCCAAAATTTTGCAAAAGCATTGTTCTCAGTTTCTCTTGGGGCCATTTTAACTCTTAAGAGAATCTGAAAACAATGCTTCTGCAAAATTCTGGGCTAACAAACAAAGAGCATTATGGTATGTTATGGTATTTTCTGTAGTGGTAAATTGTTTTAACAATTCTTTCAAAATAGTTCATACTGCAAAACAAGCTTCCTCGACGAATTCACGATATGACGAAATGTTTAGTTGAAATAGCAGCTGTTATCAACTGAGTGGTATTTTTACTTTTCTTGTTATGTTTTTAGGCAGAAGAGTTTGGCTTATTTTTTTCTTCGCAAAAAGGTGTTTACGTCATGTTCTACAACTCTTAAACAAACAAACAAAAAAAAAACCAAACTGATCAATCGATCGCAAGCTTGTCCCCAGAGGTTCTCGGTTGCCGTCCCTTATTCTGGCGGTAGCCTGTACTTTTGATGTCATTTTACCGGAGATCGCAGATCTCTTCCAAATTTGATCAACGCTAGCTGGTTATGAAGATTTTAGCCGGGGGATTTTAGCCAATCAGAAAAGGAGAAATATTTTGAATGAATAAACGATTGTTGGACAGTGGGGGGCGGGGCACTGGATAAGGTTGAGCAAAATATCGTGATTTGTTAGTGACGAGCAGATCAATTATTTACCGAGACACTGACAAAAGATAACCGATAACCGAGTTCTATAGTTGTTTTATCATTCGATCTCCGTTTTTTTTTTAATGAATATCTTTGGGAAGCGAAGCGATGTGCTATTTTCACGTAAGAAGGTAAAAAGCGTGGTTTCATTTACGCATGAGAAAAATATTATTTCCAATTGGACGACATTACGCATGAGCAGACCATTATTTGTAGGCAGTTATTTGCAGGTGGCGTGGTGGGCTCTCGGTCAATGAAAAGGCACCTTAAAATATTTACTCCAATATAAATAATCTAAATTAAAAAACTAAAAGCAATTTGTTTTTGTTCTTTTCAAAAGACATCCAGAAAGTAATTGCAAGTAGAAAGGTTCCTTTTAAAAAGAAAAGCCGTAATTAGCTTTTTGGACAACCAGAAAACCACTAGCTGGCATTCAGTGGCGCTAACAAGTGACGTCATCAATGCTAGAATAAGACACTCTTGAAAATACTAAACTTGAAGGGCCAGTTATTTAAACGGAGTTTAACCAATTTTTAACAAAACCGTGTTATAAGTCATTTTCAGTTTGCCCATCGCTTTTATCTAAACACCATTTGTCGTGAACAGTTTCATTAAAGCATATAGAGTAGATTAGAAAAGCATTTACCTTCTTAAATTGACCCACTAAGGAAGAGATGTAGAGGTCCAAAGATTTCTCATAAACAGCGGTCTCAGTTAGACTTCGTTTAAACAACCGACCAAATGATTTTCCTAAAAAAATTCCCTTCCCTCTCCCCAAAAACACTCAACAAATATTTTATTAAACTTGCTTCCAGCCTCAGAGTTTCACATGCTTTCCACATCGTATGTAAACAATAATTTAAGAAAAGTAAATTGTAAGCTTACCCTCGAGAGAATCTAATTTGGTTACTGCTCATTAAGGGAGAAGGAGTCTGACATAAAGCCATATTTGCAGACAGCTGTTAAGACATTTTTAAACGCGTCTCTCTGGCAATTAAACATATGTCGTTAATATTATCGCCCTGAAAAACAGACATCGGATTAAACTGGTTTAACTGACCGCGAGTTTAAAGCCGAAAAGAAAGAAAAAAAGATTTTATTACATACTTTTAAAACTGGTAACGCCTCCTTAAGGACAGAAATACCAAGGAGACCTTTTATCCTATTTAAATTCATGGGAAATTAAAAACGCGGTAATCAATACATCGGCGTATATATTATTAACAGGAATTTGATGTTCTTTCAAATGCCTTTGCCAGAAGCGACGTATATACCCAAAGATCGACAAAGATATTCATACATAATTAAAACTTAATTTTGTATTAAACTGGTGGTGTTTGAAAACAGCTATCACTTTACGTGAAACGGGTTAACAGCATTTGTCAAGTTCTTCCTGTTTTTTTACAGATTTCTTCGAACGTTTCTGCAATCGATCGGTCATGTTGTCTTCTTCCTCAGTTAGCTTATCTCTCCTCATTCCGTTGTTTTCTTTTATCAGACCCGATGCGGCTATTGCTCAACTGGAAGGTTAGTTTCCCTTACATTTATTTCAGTTTAGTCAGGTTGTTCCAGGGGCATCCAACGGGAATATAGTTCAAAACCACTTAAACATAGCATTTTTAAACGTATTTTAGTATTTAAACGCCAGATAAAGGCATATTTTTATCCCCTAAAAATTTTTCATCTGTTCGGATTTCATAGCTGAAAGTCTAGTGATCCGAAATTTATAGGGATCAAAACTTACCTTTTCGAAAATTTCAGCCAGAAAATAGCTCCCGAAAATTCTAGGTGACCTTTTTAGGGTAAAAGTCCGTTAAAAATAGGCAATTATACCATTTTTTAGATGTTCGAAAATCCTAGGAGAGGCAGGCAAGCAAGAAGTTTTACAACAAATGCTTCGAAAATTCTAGATCTCAAATCGTCTTCCGAACAGATATTTTTCCGAAATGGTCGTTGGGTGCCCCTGTTGTTCGTAAACGTAGCCTTTATTGTTTTGTATCAATGATAAAATGATAAAGAGATCTAAAGATTCTCGTCCTCCCTGCATAGCATATCACCCCAAGTTCGGGGATATGGTAGAAAACACACAATTATACAAGAACTGCTTAAAAAAATTGAAAAAAAATAAAATAAAATAAGCGTATGAGCTATGTAAACCATGCTTTTTGTTAATCAGTTTTGAAATATCACAAAAACTACGATGTACAAAAATTTAACATTAAATCGTAGATTATCAGACCTATACTGACTGCCGAAAAAAAAAAAAAGACGAAATCGTAGTGTTGAGTTCACGCTCTCAATAAAATGTTAAATGAGGAAGTTTTCGTGCAGTGACGGCAAAGAAATGTATCAAAAAGTGAGATGTACGTGGAAAATTTTTTTTTTGCTAATCTGTAAGTACCCGTCCACACAAATCCTTATATTTTTTAGCTTTTTTTGAAACGGCATAATTTTTTAGACAATAGGACGCTGATGAATAAACGAATTCTGTGGTTTCGTGGACGGAAGGCTGCATGATCGATTCATGTTAAAAAAAAAAAATCGGATGCTGTTTCAGAAGTATCCAGATTCATGTGAACGGGGCCTAAACCTTTTTCCCTCTTGGCGTTTTCGTTCTGTCCTCAACGTTGTTGCTTACGCGCCCTATTGATATCCGCGGCGGTGAGTTGCTCCCGCATTTCTCCATTTTTCTTTCTCCTGACTTTTTATTTTTGCACGTTTTAGAATTTACCACCATGTATCACACCAGTCTTCGTCAAGATGTTTTTATGAAGGAAGAGTACAATTACTTAAACGTGTCTAAAGTTGGAACATTTACAGTGTACGACAGCCTTGACTGCACCTTTGAATGCCTCGGTAATCCTTCCTGTTTGTCCTTCAACCTGGCAGCTTACAAAGGAGCAGATGGAAAGTTTCTGTGTGAGTTGTTATCGTCAGAAAAGTACAGCAATCCTGAGGAGTATAAAAGAAACGACAGTTTTCATCACTTTTTCGTTAAGGTGGGGTTAATTCTTTGTGTAAAGTTTAAAGAAAGATAGTTTTCATATCTCAGTCTGTGGTGATTTTTAATAACGTGTCTTAAGATACTTTCGGGTAAACGTAAAACTCGGCGCCGTAATTCTTTAAAAAAGGTTCTTTACATAGAATATTAGCTAAGAAATTAAATCGAAAAAGAACCGGCGTAAAAGCGACTGAGGATAAGACGTCGGAGTTATTCAGTCGAATCAGTCACTTTCTCCCTTTTTTCTTACCTCAAAAATTATACCGCCGGAACAAAATTACCTTAATAAAATGGCATTTGACATCAAAATTTTTTATAATTATTTCAGACTCCATGTATGTCATCACCGTGCCAGAACGGAGGTACCTGTGTAGCGAACTACAAGTATCACTCGTTTGACTGCCGTTGCAAAGCAGGTTTTTTCGGAGAATTTTGCGAAAAAGGTAATTGACGTACTTAACTTAATTCAGACCGGGGCAGCCTTGGCAAAAAAGTTGAATAACTTGAAAGACGTTCAAGCTAGGGCCACCAAACTTTGCAGCTTTTCCTTAAATTTATCAGGAAACATTTTTAAGTCATTGTGACGGGTAGGTCAACATTGATGTTACCATCGCAACCGAGATTTGACAGCCTGGTTCTTCAAAATTTGCATTTCTGCAAAATATAGGTTTTGTTTCTATTTTTACTGATTGAATTATTATATTGCACCAGAAATGGCGTCAGATTACGTCATTGTGTCAATCAACTTATGACCAGAAGTTGGAAATGAAGTTGTAATTGTTGTATGCAATTTTAGTGGCCATAGACTGAGTTGTTTTGAAGTTCTCTATGCCCGGGGACCTCCGAGGTCCCCTCCAGTCGCAGGAAGCAATCTTAGTTTAGTTTGTTTGGTCTAAATACAAAAAAAAAAACAAAAAAAACGCGTGACTAACAACCCTGGTTTTTGAAATTTGTTATAGTTAGGCCCCCTCTAGTACAAGAAGCTGTTCAGCCTAAAATTTGAAACAGGTTTTCATTTTCTAAAATCTTTTTCAAAAATCGGTATACTTGGGCAAATTCTATAAATCAACATTCAGGATCCTTTTTGGAGACATATCAGTTGCCTCATTACTCCACCTGCAATTGTAATGGTATACAGGTTTAACCTATGGAATTAGATAGCTGAATACCACTAAATAGCTTAATTTTCGCTTCACTGTATTTTTTCTTCAGAAAATAAGAACCTGTTTTAGAACCTAAATATAGCCTAAATTTGTGCTGATCATCATATGTAAGAACCTGTTTTGGCTAACTTGGGAAAAAGCAGGTTCTTAGATGCGGGCTTTTACTAAAACTGACACGGTCTCCTTAACGTCGATGCCGCAGGCGTGAGAAGCCGTATATTTATTGTCAAGTGTGCAAAAAAACTCAAAAGTCGCCCTTTGGCGTCTTATTCACCTGATTTGGTAAATTGGGAGAATTAAAACTTGTTTCATGACGGTCATTAGTTGTCAGAAGTGGATCTCTATAAAAATGATTTGCTCAACACATTTGCCCCTGGAAACGAATTCCTCAAATGCAAACAAGCAAAGTCAAGACAAAATTTTAAAACTTATTTTTTAAAAAAATAAAATTATTGAACTTCATCTTTCGCTTTCTCTCCTCTCCGCTTCTTTTTCTCTCTCTCGGCCCCCCACCCCCAACCATTTTTTCTTTGTTGGCTGGCCATTCACCTTGCTTAATTTCGGCGCAAAAATATTCCTCCTGCACACAAGTCTCGCGTCAAAGTTGGGTATAACCTTCGTGTAGACGTTTTCTATCCCCTTTGTTGCATGCGTGCAACAACGGAAATAGAAGACGTCTGCTTGCAGGCGAAGTTGGCCAATGACCATTAAAATTGATGACGTCACAAGTGGTGCGAGGAGCGTGGTCCGACACGGGCAGTTACGGGTAGTTCAGGTGTAACTTTGCTAATCTTATTTGGATTTTATTTTCCTGTTTTGCCATTAATATTACCTATCCGTCCGTGATAAAGTGAGAGAAATAAGTTGAGTTAAACACGTTAACCACTTCAATATTTTTTTCAGTTGCAAAGTCATGCCAAGACGTTTATAATCAGCACGCAGAAAAGTGAGTAAACCAATGCATAGTAATTTAATTAGAATTATAAGGTCAATAAGTCCGGGGGAACATTCGGAGTTGTCAGTACTGTGCAGTTAACCACAATTATGAGCCACAGAACAGCCAAAAATCATTCGTTAATCCTCAAAAATAGAGACACAATTTAAGAGACACAATTTGTGTTACAGTGAGTATCGATATCACTTGTTAGAACTTGTATCGTGGCTGATGGACTCTGTTTCAGCCTTTGTTCTCCATCCTGAAAGCTTAATTTTATTAGAAGCCTAAATCGACGTAAAATCTGTTGAATTTTTTAAAACAAATGCCTGAGTTCGTATTATTCAGATAATATAAACCATCAACTATGAACACCACCATCCACTGAAGGCCCTCCAGTAAAAAAGTTGTTGATGAAATGCAGTGGAACCCCGCCCTTCCGCTTTATACAAACACCCGTATAAAACGAACGGTTCGTTTGTACCGACGAAACTTCACATATTTGCCCATAAGCTAGCCTGGTTAATATGGAAAACGGACACTTTTCTGTGCCCCAAGTCACAAACCCTCATATCAATTATCGTCAACTCCCCCAGGGGATACTCAATAAATTTTCATACGGGGAGGCTCAGCCCCGACGTCCAACTCCTTTGGGGGAACGTGTTACCTTTTTACACACCATTTTTGACAGAAGAGGTACTTTTTTCCTATACCGTCCATTCCATTCATCTCTTGGTTGAGGGGTTCAGGCACTTTAAAAAGGGCTACAATACAAGGGTCAAACATGGGAAGAAAGACTGCAGCCTGACCAAAATCAAACTTGTCACGCTATTTTGCATATTTATTTTTGTTTTTAGTTATAAAATCGTGTTAACCCACAGAAATCTGTAATTATTTGAATAGGGTTCATTGTATGCAATTAGTGCATGATTGTCACAAGGAAAACGACAGTGTGAAACGAGTTGGCCAGTGGTCACCAGTGTCCATAACGCTTGGGTTGACGATAAATGAGATTCTCTGACTTAATGGATCATAGAAAAGTGTCCGTTTGTCGTATTAACCGCCGTGTCCGTATTAAACGGATTGGAGAAAATATGTAAGCATCAATAAGCATGCAAAATTACAGGATGGCTAACACCTTTCTTGTGAGTAGTTGTCAAAAACAGCTAGTCCAAGTCTTAAAGATAGTTCGCAGGTAAAATAGAGGCGTGAACTGCATCTCGCCTTTCTTGTACTTTGCCGGCAGATGAGAAAAATAACATCATGCCACTATTTTCGTTTCGTTCGCCCCATATATATATATAGAGTCCTTAAGTGTGACGTCATAAAAAACTATGGAACTTGTTGGGATATTTTGAATAAACAACATCCGAGTTGCCGGGTTGAGTTGTTTTTATAAGAGCAACTTTAGTTGTACTTTGGTCGTGGCGAGAACGGTACAGCCGTTCTGCCTATTGTGTTTTGAACTTGAACATAAATACCCACGTGGCGGATCGAAATTCTTGTTTTCCTATTGGCCGACTGAACGTAACCAACTTACGGATTGTATATTTCGATCCTCTTCTGCTTCAAGCTAAAGGCGTGTTTTTTTGGAAAGCATTTAGTGAAAATTTTAGCTCTTTCTTTTATGGAAGAGTTCGAAGACTCTTGTTAATTAATGCAAACAGAGTTTCCGTACACTCCCTCTAAAAACTTAGGTGCGCAATGTTGAACTTTCCACTCTGTGTTTGGTTCTTATTAGTGCCTGTGTTGATTTTCATAAGGTAAAACGGGTACTCGCCGTAAAAAATCCATAGCAATAGAAGGGGATGGTAGGCCTACACGACTGTTTTACCTCATGCCAAAATGCTGCTTATTCCAAAACGGGGCCTACCCGTAAAAAAATCCATAGTGCCCACCTAGACTGCGAACAGTCTCTTATTTTTCTTTGCAAAGTTATTGCACGCGAAACTAAGCACGCGAGCCGCGAGAAACGAGGGCATAAGCCCGAGAAGAAAAAATAAGAGACTGTTGACTCTTTTGTTTTGTCTGGGGACAACGAAGCTGTCAAGGTGATTTAATTAATCAATTAAACTCGAGTAACTTGTCTCAATCCCTTATTGTAATAATAAAGTCGTGGTTTGCAATCGCGCTGGATGACATAAGAACTAGACGTATTTTAAGAGAAAAGGCGGATTGCAAGCAGTCTAGTGCCAACCTGAAGGATTTTTTTTCATATTTCTGGCGTTCCGATGGGACGATGATATAAGGGCAGCGTTTATATCAAAATTACTGGCAAGAATTACAATAAATCATTTGTAAATATTGTGTTTATTCGAGGACAGCATTTACTAGTAATCATGTTTAGTTCTATTTGCGGCTTTAAATCGAGGGCGGCCATGGTTTAATTAAGTAGATACCGTAAAATTCCGAAAATAAGCCCTGGGGCTTATATTTTTCAAAGGCCCTTTTTGAGGCGCTTATTTTTGGAGGGGCTTATATTCGGAGGGGCTTATCTACGGAGGGAAATTTGCGATTCAAAACCGATTGGGTTAGCCTCATAGTTGGAAGTAAATTTACCGTTTTTGCTTTGTTTTACTTTTTATTTGAGAGCAATTTTCCAAGTACAAGCCCCCAGGGAGCTTATATTTGGAGGGGCGATTTAACGGAGAGTTTTTTGCTTTACCACTTTGGGGTCTTATATTTGGAGTGGCTTATACATGGAGGGGCTTATTTTCGGAATTTTACGGTATGATTCTCTTCAATCATTGCCGGCCTCCCACCCCCCAAAAAATGTGTTTAGGCCGTTGTTTTCCGACTTTGAAACAACAAGCTTGCGAGTACTATGTTGCTATCACAGTGGACAGTTAAAAACCAAAACATTTGGGAGATTCAAAAATTATAAAATTTACGTAAGAATGACGTCAGCAAACATGACGTCATAACTGAATATTTTGAGACATGCTGGTAACTAATTTGAGTGGCCTGACATTTTGCATTTTCAACTTTCGTGAAAAAAGCGAAAAGGTCCACAAAGTTATTGTAAAATAACTCCCAGTAACGTGATGAGTGACAAGAAATTTAGATTTGACTGAAACTGTATTGAACTCGATGAAAAAGCGAACGTTTTTTTAACAAGCAGTTAAGGCACGTTCCATTTGTTTCTCCGACTGTTAAGAGCCGTGGCAAAATTAAAATGAGATTCATTTTGTACAGGTTGAACGTGACTCAGTTGGTCACTCTTCTCCTTGACTCCAAACTAGTTTCAGTTCTCTGTCACTTTGGCAATTTTGGATGCGGAGATGGAGGATGGACACCAGTCATGAAGATGAACGGCAGCAAGGTAAAACGTGTGTATTCGGCAACAAGAGTGACAAAAATGTATTATAATTAAATACAGGTTTGCTTATGTCAGCGGTAATTTTCCATTATCATAACCTGCGAATACAGCCGTTTCTCCTTCCTCTCCGCCGCCAGGGACGTTCCGCCAGGAGGAATTCTGCGCCTCAGCGACAGAAATTCCATACTGATGACGTAAAATCTGTCCGGAATCTGGTCAGGAGCTCTGATTGGTCGGTATAGTAGTTATATTATTTTACCTATTCTTTACGAATGACAGACAAAAGATAAAAGGCCACAAAGGTCAGATATAAACGGGGTAGTAAACGTGAGGAATATATTCTTCGGCTCTAGAAAAAGCAGCTGAGTTTTGCTGTCGCTGAAACGCAGACGTTCCTCCTGGCGAGACGTCCCTAGCAAGGAGAAACGGCTGTATTCGCAGGCTACAATTATCCGCGAAAGATGCGAAAGAGTATTTCGGCGATTGATGAAAAAAAAAATAAACTACGCAATTCGAATGTGCAACGGATAAATGAAAAAGCATGCTTTACACTTTTTCTCCCGAACATTTCTTAGTATTCCTTTTTACTAGACGAGTGAATGGAAATGAACAATGTTTAGGGAGTCGATTATCATGTAAAACCGACGTAGTTACACTCCCCTTTTTGCAGATTCACGTCACTGAGTACAGTTGATCGAACCTTCGCTTTAGGGCACTGACCTCCCTTGTCCGGCGGACACTCAGTCTGAGACATTTTTGTTTTCATAAGTTTGATTTTATTTACCTTTATTAAAAATTCGCCAAGGATGTACTAATTAATTAAAAATAATTAGATGATGGGAGCGTCTTTCTTTTTTTCTCAAATTATAATCAGCTTTTTTTCTGTTGAGAAAGCTTCGTGCCCAAGGAAAAGATTAGAACATTGTTGCCAAATGGCGCCCAAGAAAACGCCAGTTTCAGTTTCTAAACACAATTTTTTGTATATGAAATTTCAACGAGAGTCTTGAATCCTGAATGCTTTCAGAAAGCCCAGCAAATTAAGTGAAATTTACATAAGGCTCGACCTTACCATATTTGAAAATTTCTTGCCTTATTCTTTCTAGTAACTAAGTAACCAAAGCTGCAAAAGATGACCCCTTTGACCTAGAGTTCGATCTGAAGAAATCTGATCATGTGATTATTAGACAAACCACAGCAGAATAATAATGTAATTAAAAGCAATGTAACTCTATTTGTCCTCCTCGTTCCCAGGATCCTCTCCTACTCCCACCCGGGAATGAGTAGGAGTGGAGCCTGGGAACGAGGATAGGCGAATTAACAAAACATACGTAAATCTAATCACTCTTTACCTATGCTAGAGACTGTTTTTCTGTCATTAATTTTATCACAGCGAACGTTTCACTACGACTCCAATCTCTGGGGAAACAAAATTGCCTTTAAACTTGACGGAGGGAAGACTGGGTTTGACTCACAGGAGACCAAACTTCCCTCCTACTGGAACACATCTTTCTCCAAGATCTGCCTCGGTATGAAGATCGGCCATCAGATCAAGTTTATTGTCATCAAGAAGCGGGCGAACTCCTTGTACTCTCTGATCGCTGATGATAAGTACCGCAGAACCTCACTGGGTCGTAACACGTGGAAGTCGCTGATTGGCTCTGGGGCTTCCTTGCAGATTGCCTGTAACAGGGAAGGATTTAATGCCAAGAGTGACGTGCAGTCTTTAGGTAGAGACATGGCTAAAGCAAGAATCGGTATCCTTGGTAATGAAATAAACGTTTGTAGTAAATGTGACTCCAGAATTGGGTTTGGTACTGGAGGGCTCCATGATGACACCAATACATGTGGGAATCAGGTTGGATTCGCAAAGAATACAAAGGGACTAGGTTACATCTTAGTACAGTGAGACGGTATAGTACCAGATTCACACTAAGAAGCTTAAGTCCTTTTTGAAAACCATGTTAACTTAGCAATTTTGACAGTCTCTTGTCTTTTGTCCTCGTTTGTGGAAATGAAGGATCAGGAACGCATAAAAAAAGGACTAGGTTACAGCTTAGTACAGTAAGACAATAGATCCAATAACAAACTAAGGGCCTCTTCACATGAGCCTGGTTGACCGGATTGGCCAGGGTTTCGAGATCTCGCCTTCCGATGTGTTCATAGCGAGGACAGCTGCCTCGGTTGCCGAGATCTCGGTTTTTCCAAATGGGATCTTAGTAAGTGGGCTGGAAATTTTGCCATATGAACACTTCAGCCCGGTTACCGGGATGAAAGCGGGATGAATTCTGGCGGCCCTGATGGCATCGTTTTGCATTGCTTGCTGTGTTTTCCACGTCATAAGGATCCTATTTAACTGCAGTGATAAAGCTTTTACAGTTGCCAAAGCTATGATCGGCGCGAAAAAGTTATAATTTTTGTATCACGTCATGTTTGCCTCGAATTTTGCGCCAGAACTCGTCCCCAGGATCTTTGGCCTTTTCTCTTCTATCCTGGTACTGACTATTCCAGCCCTGCACGATTCGGATTGGAAAAGAATATTTATATGGATTACACTTTCCTGGCTTAACAGGCTTAATAGTTTATACGGATGGTTAGCGCGGGTTGAATTGCACTTGGTAAATTAAAAATGACATTTATGATGCCAAAAACGATCTTGTAGCATTCAGGTAAAGAAAGAAACAGTCTACGTGTTTCAAGTGTAGGCCACTTTAGCTTCCTTAAACGATCTTCGTATTCCATTTCCCCACGTTTTTGCCTGAGAGGAGGCTCTTCGCTAGAATTTTTCTAACGCTGGCACATCCTTTGCCAATTATAGATTCCAGACAGGCGCAGCGTACTCAAGAACTGGGCGTACAAGAGATTTGTATAACGTAGAGAACTCACGGGGATTCGACAACTACTGTTCTGTGAACCAAACCCAATAATTTTTGGCTTTATTAACGGACATAATGCCCAAATCTTGACGCACTTTACGGAGGTTTTAAGGCTCGTACCCAATGAGTATGTAGGGAGGGAGAGGTCACCTTGATTCTGGCCAAGTCAACTGGGCTTATGTGGATGTCAGCCTAAGTACTTTGAAAATCATGTTTGCAGGACTTATCTGTATTGAAAACACAACTTATTCCAAAATTTATTTTGAGTTCTTTAGGAGCAATCAAGTCAAATATTGCTTAGTTATCATATTTTGAGATAAATCTTTGTTTAACACTTCCATCCGTAATACCGTCAATCACAAAGGAAAAGGGTATATCGTATTTCATTAGGCCAATTAATGGTATGAGCTAGTTAAACTCCGCTAATATAAGTTTCCTGGCCCCGGAAAGAATTGATAACGAGTAATTCAACATAATTATTTTTTAAACTCGATTACAAAGGGCCGTTGGCAATACCCAAGAGCCATAATACCTGAATCAGATCAGACCAGAACTACCCCTCTAACCCTATATCTAACCTTTTGTCATCAGTGGGTTGATTACCGTAATGATTCGATTTAGCGCCCGGGGCGCTTCTTTACTTTTGCTACTTCAAGGGAGTGCGCTTATTCGAGACAGGGCGCATATTTCTTTTTTGAGAAACAACCGAATGTTCAAAACAAAACTTTACTGGATATCTATTACATAAGGGACAATAACAGAAACTGTCAGTTAACGTGAGAAACTCAGACTAAGAAAACTGTTTTTGTAATGTGGCATTACCGTTCTTTTGTGAGGAGTGTAGCTAAATGTCGTGGGTCGTGGGTAGTGGGTAGAGGTCGTGGGTAAATGTCGTGGGTAAAAAAAAAAGTTTTCCAAAAAAAAAATTAAATCAAAAACTTAAATAGCAAAAATCTCCGCGTACCCTCAGTGCCAGTCCTATTCCCCCTTCCACGCTGTCAGCAAAGCAAATAAGCGAATCCTTCAATACAAACGGACACTTAAAAGGCATTTACCGTAAATGATCGATTAAGCGCCGCGGCGCTTATCTCATTTTCCTGGTTATAGGTGCGGCGCTTATACGAGAGCGGCGCTCATTTCAACTTCGGGTAAAACACTGAGGGGAAGATGGAGAGAACTGTATATATGAAGAACACAATACGAACAGAAGCACACACTACCAGCTACGCGGTATGGCCAGTACCTTGCACATGCGCATAGCCTTATCACCCCGGCAGTGGCAGCCATGGACAGCTGTTTCGTCATTGTTAGGACTCATCAGCACCGTATAGCCAGCTGTTATATGAACCCGGTTTTAAGCGTTTTCCTACATTAAAAAAAACTTTAGAATTCACGAATTGCAACTGGTCGAGGTCTTATTTCTCAAGCGATATGGTTTTGATCTCTCAAGCACCGTGACAAAGATGGGGCGTTAATTTGTAAATTGCTGGTTTTCAGTGTCACGCCACTCAAAATAGATCAAAATAAAAATCAAAACCATTCGACAGATGAAGTCCAGAATCTGGGAAATATACAAAGATCCTCGCCAAGATTTGGGTCGAAGGAATAATTCGTATACGAGGTATCTGAGGAAATTTTTTACCCAAATTCATAGAGCTTTGTATGGAGACGCCATGCTGGAACTCATCCGGATGAGCTCCAACATGGCGGACGGAAACCAACAGAAACAGCTGTTTATTACCGAGTTTTGCTACAAACGGGTGAATTTATTCTTCGAGGAACTCATAAACATTAAAGTAATACTTTTTCTAATACTTGAACTGTTTAAATAGCAAAATTCCACGAAAAAAGTCACTTTTTTAACCTAAATGACATGCAGCTCTCTCGGCCGTCATGTAAATGCTGCGTCACGCAAAAGCTCAGAAATTTTAGCGTACTCTATTACAAAACCAAGAACCCTTTTGAAACGAAAATTTGTTTGAAACTAGTTTTCAGCTGCTCTAATAGACCATGAAAGTAAAATCTCAGTAGGATCGAAAGTTTTGTAGTTTGAATTTTAGTGACGTCATGTGTAATCCAACAATACCCATGATTAGCACCGCGGCGCTTATTCAAGTAACGGCGCTTAATATGATCGATCCCTTTCGGCAGGCGAAAAATAAAAGAAACTCTGTACACTATGTAACACCTGAAGTAGGCTAAAGAAAAAACTGGAGACTGGACTGCTTATTCTCAAAGATGTCAACATTCGTGACTGAAACGTCCTGTCAGTTTAACAAATAATATTCAGAATCGTTTCAGTAAAGATTTTTTACACAAAACAAAACAAAAAAGAATCTAGAAAATTATATTTCCCTACGGCAACAAAATTTACATAGAGTTTCGCCTTAATTTGAAAGGTTGAGCTAAGAGACCTAAACTGAACTTCTTAAAAAAAGACTTCTATCCAAAAATATGAATAGGTCAAAATTGTCCTTTTGTCTCCTCACTTCCCCTCCCCTTTGCCACGGTGATCGCATTCCATCATGTTAGATAGCGAGTTAAAGCTGTACCATACTTTCTGCAAATTGCACGTTTCGACATATTTTGCGTCTGTGTCGTCTATTTGGTGGCCATCGCTCAGGTACTGGATAGATCTTCATCGGTAATATGTCTTTTTTACAGTGATGTTGTGAAAAGGGATCCAAGTCCCACGTGGCTAAGGAAATATCAGGAAGAGCACGAAGAAGAAGCCGTAAAATGGGCAATCAAGGACTCGGAGATTTTCGTTTCATAAATATTCTAGAACTTTTTTCTATTTATTTTTTCTCAATTACTTTACTTTATCATTTTTTCTATGCTTTTTTTACCCACGAAATTTACCCGCACCCACGACCCACACCCACGACCCACGACCTCTACCCACCACATTTAGCTACACTCTTATTCGAAAGTAGCCTCCCATGCAGACGTTTTTAGGGGAACTCGTTTTTTAATTCGAAAGGGGCACGTATTGGAAGGAGGGCGCTAAATCGAATCATTACGGTATTACTGTACAGGGATCAGCGGATAAGTATCTAACTCCTTTAGTTATGAATTTTTTTTAGTTTAATTCAAAGTGTCGCCTTCATTCTGTGCGTTCTCTGTGCCAAGAGACACCGTCTCGAGTTAGCTGACATCTTAGCTTATAACCATGTTCCTGTATCTTCCTGGGCCCGGTTGTTTAAACGATGGATAGTGCTATCTACCGGATAAATCTCTACCCAGTGGATAAGTGTTAGCGAAATTTATTTCGCTGTCCACTTGGTAGATATTTATCCAGTAGTTAGCGTTATACATCTTTTGAAAAACTGGCATGGGGCCTGATGATCATGAGCTTTGTTTTAGCTCCATTAATTTGTAAATTTTTTTTTATGATTATCGTCTGTATGAGCGTTTTAAGAATGAAAAAAAATGTATGATTCTTTATTTTAAAACATTATGCTTAAGTTTTTCGCTGATTTTTCGTACTATCAATTATCACAACAACCAACACTGCAAAAATGTTATAACAGACTTTACTCACGATGGTCGCCATCTTTCCACACGCTTTAGAATTTATGAGATAAAAGCAATGCCACGTGGTATTTCAGGAAACAAACAAGTCTTGATTTACCTTGTTAGAGGAACCTCTGAACTTTTTCTTTGTTTTGGACCTTTTGTTTTCCTAGGTTGTATTGTGTTGACTTTTTTGTTTCCTTTGTTTTTGCGTCACGCGTGAGTCTCACTCCTTTCTTACACCGAGAATGAACTAAAGTGACATATTTTGCTAATACGATTCAAAATCGCGGTCTAAGACGAGATGACGATTTTAACGCAGCAAAATGCACAATTCGAAATTCGACAAGTTTTACCCCATTTTAACTTTTAATTCATATAGGAATCTAGAGGTTCTAGAGATTTAAACTGTTGTTATTAAACATGGCTTATTGTATAAGCTTGTGCTATCATTAATTAAACTATGTCTTGGAAATGTGATGTTTGTGTTTTCTCTTCTTTCCAATTCTTTAACCAT